TATTCTCACAACTCTAATTTTTATTTATTTCAATATTCTTTGTTTGATTTTGAGTTTAGATGACAATGTTACATTACTTTCCGATGTATACCATATAGAGATTCAACTTCTCTATACATCATGCTATGCTCACCACATGTATAGCTATCCAGTAAGGGGTTAAAATCCAAAATATGTAAAGAACTTCAACAACTCAACACCAAACTTATTTTTAAACTCCAGGTCCTTGTTTCTCAACTGAATCCCTGAGCAAATTCATCATTTCCCACAGAAGTTGGAGAATTTCTTAGTATCTTCCAGAGCCTACTAACTCCACTAAACTCCAGAGGCTGACCGTTATAGATCCCTAAAGGGTAGAAATCTGCTCTGTTTCCAAGACCAGGGGAGAAAGTAGAATGTGTGAATCCACTTTATTTTTTTAAGTTTATTTATTTATTTATTTATTTATTTATTTATTTATTGAGAGAGAGAGAGAGAGAGAGAGGTGGGGAGGGGCAGAGAGAGAATCTCATGCAGGATCTGCATCATCAGTGCAGAGCCCAGAACAGGGTTGGAACTCAGGAACTGTGAGATCATAACCTGAGTGAAACCAAGAGTCAGATTACTTAACCAATTTAGCCACCAGGCGCCCCAGATCCACTTTAGGCTCTTGAATAAGGAGGGCTGCAATTAACTTCCTCACTAATTATCTAAGATGCAAGCACATCTTGTCAAAGAAAAAAATATTTACCAGAAAAAATACAGTCAAATCTAATATGGGAAAACAATTTCTGGTGAACACAACTGTCACTCTGCTCCTTGAGAAAATAAATAAATAAATAACCTCAGCACAGTGGTGTGGAGCCATATCTAACCCTTCAAGATGTGATATATGGAACAACAGCTACCCCAGTGATCGAGAAGGACTCCTATTTTTGCCATCTGGTCTGGTGCTAGCATTCCACCCTGACGCTTTTAGACCCTCTGTTTCTCCTCCTATAGGAAGAGAGGGATGTCTCATTTTTGCACATCATCAAACAGAGAAACTCCATGTATTTTCCTCCATAGACATCTACAGGGGAAAAAAAGCTCTATATATCAGCCATTCTCAAAATTAAGCACACATATGAATTACCTGGGGATCTTCTTAAAATGCAATTGTGAATCTGTGAAAACTGAGATTCTTCATTTCTAATCAGCTGCTAGGAGATGTGGATGTTGGCCACACTTTGAGTATCAAAGATCTAGATATTCTAGAAAAAATTTTAAAATGACTACAAAGCACTTTCATCTCTCTTTGATCTCATGCTTGTCTGCAGGACTGACGTAGTCTTCTCCTGCCCCCCCTTTTTTATTGACAGTCTATAATGTTCAGAGAATTCCATTATTCTTACACTTTGAATTTCTTCTGCTTTTATTATGGAACATAATCCCCTGAATATCTTTAAATTACAAGGTTACAAAACCTCCATGAAAGAAAGACTGATAGGAAACAAATTTGTATCATAATAACATTTATTCTGTTTCTAATGAGCATTACTATATTCACTGATGCAATTAGCCACACCAACCCAAACTCCTTTCTCTTACTCTTTGAGAAGGGAAAAAAAATCCTACAAAACATAATTAAATCTAATTACCACCCAGACTAAATATGGCGCAAATACATGTTCTCTTAGAATTGTTATAAAACACACAGGATGTAATACTTAGAATGCCAATATGATTCATGCCCGGTGGTATTGTGGTTACATGTTAGTCGGGAGTACACTGAGCTGGGCTTCTTTACTTTATTCTCTTAACCAATCTATTATTCAGGTCTTCAGGACACAGGGAAAAAACATGTTCCTTTGAAACATCTTAATTTTGGAAGAAAAAAATACCTATATGTAGTCAAATTATCTTTAATCACTTACAGGAATTTTCCTCATTGTCTTACTATTTCTTTGAAGTGCACTTTGACACTATGAACCCTTGGTCATTCCAATGTGCTATTTTCAATGACAAAGCCAATGAAAAGATCTTCACCTTCTATTAAAGAATTCCAGGTCAAGACAAAAACTACTAACATAATTTGAATATTTAGTTCCCTGGGTTAATAACAAGACAATGAATAAGATCATGGCTTTCTTTTTCTTTGATAGAGAAAAAGTCCACCATATAAAGAATGAATAGGGGCACCCGGGTGGCTCAGCCAGTTGAACGTCTGACTCTTGATTTCAGGTCTGGTCATGATCTCACAGTCCATGGGACTGAGCCCCATGTCAGGCTCTGTGCTGACAGGATGGAGCCTGCTTGGGATTCTCTTTCTCTCCCTTTGCCCTTTCTCTGCTTGTGTCCTTTCTCTCTCAAAAATAAGTAAATAAACATTAAAAAAAAGAAAGAATAAAATATTGAAAACAATTCAAAAGACATATAATGTGTCTTTGTAATCCAGCTACTCACTACAATCAAGTCAAACTTTAAGAAATTCTACTTTTGGGACTTTTGGGGCACCTGGATGGCTCAATCGGTTGGGCGACTGACTTCAGCTCAGGTCACGATCTCATGGTCTGTGGGTTTGAACCCCGTGTCTGTGCTGACAGCTCAGAGCCTGGAGCTTGCTTCAGATTCTGTGTCTTCTTCTCTCTCTTCTCCTTCCCCTCCTTGTGTTCTATCAAAAATAAACATTACAAATTTAAAAAATAAAGAAATTCAACTTTTATTACAAAACAATTTTAACTTTATAAAAGACACCAACCAAATATGACTCAGTGTCTAACGAACTCTTTTGTTCTCAAAACTGTGTTGTTAGCATTATTCCAACCTGTTTCCAATTAATATTTCTTTGATTGACTCACATTTGGGCACAAAAAGAAAATGTACCCCAAAATTTCTATAAAAGTAGTTTTGTGCACTCTGCATCATTCAGGAAGGAAAAAAAGACTGTTCCTTGCCTCCCAGGTATCAACCAGTCTAATCACATATTTCCAAACTCTGCCCAAGTCAGAATAAATAAATGTATGAAAAGATATTGCAACTTGGAAGCCCAATATTTGTAATAGCTGACTCCTTCATAGGAGTCACCCTTACCACAATCTTTACCTTGGAAATCACATCTGAAGTAGCTGGATCAATCTCTCCAAGCAGCATATGTTGAAATTTTTGTCTAACACCATGGTAACCATAGCAATGTTTATTTCATTACTAACTTTTATAATGAACATAAAGAACTTTGGACATAAACGTTTGGCAGCAATAATGAAATTGCCTAACTCTAGTGGCTTTTGTTCCATTGGCTCCTGGGAGACCATACTGAAATATAAAGATCAAGTAACTATGTTCTCAATTAGACTCCATAATTAAACTGTGGTTTGATTGAGTGATTTCCATTTGCCTAGTTTGGAAGATGTGGATTCCTGTCCTGTTTCATCACTGGCCAATTATTTGAATTTGAATAAGACAATCAATCTGTTAGTTATTTTACATATTAAAATAAGAAATAGTTCATCTAGAAAACTCTGAAGTGACTTTCATAATAAAATATAAATTATTAGTCTAGTTTTATTTTTAAGGTGATAGAAAAAAATTCACTTGAATGTTGAAGCTTTTTGGAGAATTTCAGCCATAACTTTGACTCACTAATTAAGCTTGGGCTGTCCATCCCAGACAAAGGAATATACAACAGCTTACAAAAGTGGCATATACTTAGGCAGCAAATATTCACTGAGAGGCTGCTAGAGGCCAAGTGCTACATAAAACTGATTAGTTTTAGAGCCTCATTGAGAACCAGCTATGGGACAAGTAGGTGGTAGTCCTTCCTATAACTGGAAATATAATTAAACAGTGAGGCCCACAGGTAGTGATCAAAACAGAGATATGCCAAGTCCTCTTAAAGAGGCAGAACAGCCCTCCATCTAAGCCCAGATAGTAACCAGATGGATGGTGTTTATATGTTTGAAAAAGAAATGTGTCTGGTGGAAACAGCATTGGTCTGCCTTACAAATTAAGAGATACAACCTTGAGAACCCATCTCTAGGACCAATCACATCTACAAGCTCTCCTTAAGAGAGGTCCTCAAGAATAGAAGAGAAAAAACTACTAAGCTAAATTGTAATCAGCATTTAGTTCTTCCAACTAATTCTTCCCACTAAACTGCCTTCTGATTCCAATTTGACTTCCCACATATCTGTCACTGCTAGGCAGGAAAAATTGGTCCCACTCCAGAATGACGGTAATGTTTTTCTGATTGGGATTGATGGCCCTTGAGGCACAGATAAATCTCATTTTCTGAGCTTTTCAAAATTTTGAAGGTAGCAGGGAGGTGCCTATCATGCATTCCTTAGGCTAAAGACAGACTCTCCCAAGGAGTATCACACATCACAACAGGGCTTCTTTCCCCTGAAACGTCAATACATTTATTCTTTCTTTCTGTCCACATTTTTATTCTCCTTCTTCTCCTCCAATAAACATAATGAGCTGCCATGGGTCTGAATTTTAAGAATGGTTGGGATTAGGAAGGTTTAGAAGAGGGAATTTCAAAGATAGGAGTGATTAAATTGGGTTGGGGAATTAAGTAGACCAGTATAGCCAATTTAAAGAGGAATAGTGATGCCAGGTGAGATGAAACCAGAAACTTAAGCCAGATCTAGATCAGGAAGATTTCCAAAGAGTATTAAGGCATTTGGTCCTGAATAATTGACTATGAGAGTTTTTAGGGTTTCTTGAAAGGTAGTGACAGATCACTTTGAATATTAGGAAGATTATGCATAGATACATAATCATACATGAAGAAACCACACTGTAGACTATATTTACCACAGAAGTATATAGTTCAATACTTCTAACTTCAAAGAGGTCACACATTTCTCTTTGGTACCTGGAAGTAACACACTTGGAAAGAAATGACTAATGTTTACTCATGTTTACTCACAAAGAGACACTGGAAGGGGAAAGGGAGGGATGTGGGCCTATGAGTAATGGAAGGAGGAAAGAAAAGAAAGAATGGTGATCTCTCTAATTCATCTAGTACCTTTCCTCAGGGGTAGAGTTTGCCTTCCGAAATGACCAGTAAGTCAACACTGGCAGCAACTCAGCCACGAGAGCAATATCCAGGAAGCTAACAGAACCACAGAGGACTTGAAACACATGTGTCTGGGTTCCAGTGTTATTCCCAAGAAATATCTACAGCCTTCCTCCAACACCTCCCTGGATGAGGGATGGAAACTAGGTGACACATGGCAAGAAGGGACAAATGGACACTCCAGCTGAATTGTAACAATGGGTAAGGACTTTTCTGCTATCACAGAATCTGAGAGAGGCTTACTAATCATTCCAGATTCCAAAAGTAGCTTTTTCTATAGGAGGGTACAACAGCATCAGAACTGTAGCTCCAAGAGAAAGGTGTCTGTGTGAGTGTAAGAGAAAGGAAATGTGTGTGTCCAAACACATGTGTGTGTGTTTTCAAAGCAGAGCGTGAACACAAAATCACACAGCCTTCTGGTGTTATGGGTTCCCCTGAGTTGAATGTCTCAGTGATGCAGTTTGGCACTGGAGCCTTCATCTGAGCTGAGATTCCCTCCCTCTTCTTTTGCTTCAGCTCAGTGTTTTGCTTGAATCTGAGTCATAAGCTCCTTAAGCTGGCAGGAAGCGGATAGTCGGGCTGGCAGCTCCAACTCCCCCAAACAGAGGGAGTGTCTTGGCTGACACCAAAGCAACCTTTTCCATCCCCAGACCCAGTAACAGAACCAATGAACATCAGCAGAACAGAAGGCTGGGCTACACACAGAGAGTGGGAGAACAGAGAAACCATCCGGGAGAAATCCATTAGTTCAAGCCATGGTTTAAGAAAAAAAAAAAATGAAGGCTTTATGGAATTACCTCAGCCACTCACCAGGGTCTTCCAATATTTTGTGCTTATCTCCCAAAACTGGCCGATAAACACTCTAAACTCACTCTGCTCAGACCCCACATGTCTTCTGTCTCCATCAAGCTTCTGACTGACTCCTCTCCCTAGTAATCTCCATCCTTCCCTGCATTTCTCCTAAAACAGCTACTCTAACAGTTAAGTTCACACTCACACTTGGCCCTTACTTGTGGGTAAAGCAGTAAGTTATCTGAAGGAATCAAGAAAAGACGACATTCCTGCCCAACTCCATCAAATTCCCTCTTTCTTTTGTTAGAAGTCCAAATGTAACCAGGGAGGGAGGAAACATTGAGACAACATCAACCATTGACACCCTGGATCCAATCAGTTGTCAAATTAGCTCCAGCAGGTATCAAGGGCATGAGCAAGGAGGGAACCAGATTCAGGGGAGGCAGAAAAGCTGGGAAGAAAAGTTTGGAGTAAGAAAGTTGTCCAATGATTACTACAATGTGGGTGACCCTGTATGCTGTAGTTCAGGAGAAGGGAGGGTGGAGGTCTGAACACCTGGATGGAGACAATCTGCCAAAAGAGCAACAGGGTGTTGAAAAGTAATGGCAGAATGTTGGAAACAACCCTTACCTCCTTCATAGTTTTTCCTTCAGTTAACCTGGTTACTTAAGCTAAGCACTGGGCCTTGGCAGGTTTTCTGCATGCAGACCCCAACAGAAGAAGTCTGTCTTGCACCATACAGTTTCCACATTTCATACGCCCCTCTCCCAACTCCCTCTGTCTCCTTCACAACCTGCCACCATCATTTGTCTTTCTCTGGCTCTTATCCACCTCATCTTCAGCCTCCTCGAACTCCACTTCTGACATGTGGCAAGTCTCCCAGGCCCAGGGCCCCTGGCCTGTTTTCTACCCGATGTTCCTCTGTTTCTTCCTGTCTGCACCACTGCCTGATGCCTTCTGATTGCTCAAACCAGAGCTCAGCTGTCAATCAAGTGCTTGACCTCCAGAAGGCATTCTTGGCCATTCAATTTAAGGAAAGTAAAAATAAAACAGAACCAAAAAAAAAAAATTCCCTAAAATATTTGAAATAGGTTCTGTTTGGAAAGTTAAAACTAGTGAATGCTGAGTGTGTAAAATAACATCTCCCACTGTCTTAGAGAGAACTTTGCAAAGCAGCTATATTTCCTATATTAGAAATATATGCAATTTTGTTATGAATTGAGCTCTTTCTTTTCACAGACACTAGCTCTTTGTTTATTTCAGATATGAGCAGCTACACAGCTGCTCCCCAGTTCAATATTTGCAGCATATTAGTTATGAGAGATAACATTGAATTATTAATATAAATAATGTGTTAATACTGCCCCACCTGTATATGTAAGAGGTCTTGGAAAATAGTCTCCATACCTAGTTGAAAATGACTTTCAAGACCAAGTTTGCATAGAGGATAAGAAGGCATACTCATAACTACCAAGCTCGAGTAAGTTCATTTTTCCCTTTCCTTGGTTCAGATGAGATGTGTCCTTCAGTCTTCTCTGTGTCCATCCTGAACACTTGAGTGCCAAGCTTCTTGCACACGGATCCATGGTAGAGTAACTCAACAAAACCAAAATTCTCATGGCTCACTATTTGAGCATTAAAGACGTCTTTGGTGAAGGAATATAAAGTAGTAGAAACAATCAACTGTGGAACTTACTAAGAAAGGCTGGTAGGATGTGGAAGACACTGCAGGGAAAATCAATTAAATCAAAAAGTTGAGGAAAGACCAACCAATCTGATGAAATGTACCTACAGAAGAAATAGATAAATGAGAATCCCCTGAGACTCCAAATTCCTATCATAATTCTCTCATGGTCTCTTGCAACAGGATTAAATGTTTTCTGAAGTCCCATAACATCAGAACTATAATACAGTCCCAATTAAACAGTGAGAACTAAATATTTTCTAAAGTCCTATAATATACTATATCTCCCTGACTTCAAGCTCAGAAAACAGTCAAATAAACACAGTTTGTGAAACAATAAGAACTCTCAATGTAGCCTAAATTATTTATTTCAAAGGTAGAATTATATAATTGGCTTTCTTAAGCAAGTCATGCATTGGTTAGCATCCAATCTAGCAAGTAAAGAGATGCTCCCCCTAAAGTCTTTATTTATATTCTTTAACTCCTTGAAGGGAGGACAGAGAGTCTCCAGTAATAAACTTGAAGAAAAATAAATAAATTTTCTGCTCTCATCCACTGACTTCAGCATGGAAGCCACTCTTAAGGCAGTTTCTTCAAAATAGCAAGGCCATATTATCGTCTAAACCTCCTGTCCTCCAAATGTTTACTCCTACCTCTCCATTTCCCCCCTTCATCCTGTTATCAATGACCATTGATTGTCTGTCTTTTACTAATCTTTTTCCCCCTTTCAGCTTTCAGGTCCTGTTCATCTACAGTCCCCCATCACAAATACCAGAAGAACTGGTCAGACCCTCCTTGGCAGGCAGAACTGAAGGTGCTAAGAGACCTCTTCAGCGTGGAGGGGTTGACAGAGACAGAATATGCATAGAGGAATGGCTCTTACCATGACAGACATGGCATATGAATTCTCTTCAGTAGAAATGACATGAAGAAATATGCAGCACATACCAAAAGTTTGCCAGAATGAAGTGCTAAATTTTGTTGAATTACTGTGAAGTACTGCACTAAAGCAGATAGAACAGCATTTGATAAAAATTAATTGACTGGAGCTCTATGTATCAGTGTGCATGATTCTCACGCGTATGTTCCTTTCTCCTCCAGTACTCTGACCTTTTAACACCTCTGTCCCCCCAGACTTTCAGCTTGACCTCCTTTACTCACATTATCCACAGTTCTTCCTGGATACTCCCTCCATGAATTGCAGCCTGGAGATCCAAAAGCAGTGAACTGGGACAGTCACATGGTTCACCATACTTGTTCTCTCTCTCTCAGGTATGATTGTTCTGCGGGGATCAATCTCAAACCTGAGGACTAATGTCTTCTTTTTTTAAAACTTTTTAATGCTTATTCATTTTTGAGACACAGAAAGAGATAGAACACGAGCAGGGGAGGGGCAGAGAGAGGGAGACACAGAATCTGAAACAGGCTCCAGGCTCTGAGCTGTCAGCACAGAGCCCAACGCAGAGCTTGAACCCACAAGCTGTGAGATCATGACCTGAGGTGAAGTCAGACGCTTAACCGACTGAGCCACCCAGGTGCCCCTCTGAAGACTAATGTCTTAAAAATTCTTTTTAAAAAAATATTTGGTCTGAATTTTTTTGGATATTTGGTCTGATTTTTGGTTATTTCAGGTAAGCAGATAAATGCATTTCCTTTTAATGCCCTGTTAGCCAGAAGGGGAATTACCATCAGCTATAGATTTAAAACAAACTCGGGCTGTACCTGGTGAATTAAATTGCTAAAAATCCACAGCTTCAGACTCATAACGCACCTCTGCCCCCAAAACCAGATCTCAAAAAAGAACTGATATACCTCATTATGCTTCATACATTTAAAACACCGTTATAACCTCTCCCAGGGTATATTAGTTTCCTAAGGCTTCTGTAACAAAGTACCATAAATGTGGTTCCTTAGAAGAACATAAATTTATTCTCTCATAGTTCTGAAGGCTAGAAGTTCAAAATCAAGTTGTCAATTTGTAATTATCTTGGGAGTAAAATGGAGTCACATTTTATTCTAACCCACAGTACCTAGCTTTGTACTTATCTCCTAAAATAAGTTCTATAGTGTTTACATAAAGTTTAATTTAATTGCAATGGTGAAGAGAATTTTCTATGAAGGTAATTTCAGGCACCAGTTTTAAACATAGGGATTCCTCAAAATAGTGCCAGGTATGTAACTCTAATATGCTTATAAGTGACACCTGGCTCCAGAACAAACAGTATTTTTTTCCACTGTATAGAAGTTACTGGAATGCCAAATGGGAGAGATTTCACTATTTTATATGCCACAGAGAAATACAAAACAGTCTAAATAAAATTCTCCACTAATGCTAACATAGCATCAATTATAAAATGCATCCCTGATTTCATAGATAATTACAATGTGTAAGACACTTGTCTTAGATTCAAATACATAACTGTGGATGTATGTTTTGTATGTAAATAAATGTAAACATAGCTATATGCAATAACTATTTCATGGGGTTGCTGTCCTGCAAGCTACCATTTAACCTGTCCAGAAAATGTCCCAGGTTTCCTACACTATGACATTTGCCTCTTCTACTAACCCCTCTAGCTCCACACATCTAGCCACACTGAAGCTCACTGGCCCACTCCAACTTTGCTAATCATATTTGAAATTTAAAACAGAAATACCAGAGGCTGGGAAATTTTGTAGCCAAGTCACATCAACAGCAATAGTCTGACTTATGGTGCTGGGATGTCTAACTTTCCCTTAGCCTACCCTTTCCAAAGACTTAGGGATTTAATCCTGCTTCAATTCCGCAAAATACCCCAGCAACCTTCCAGTAAATTCTTTTTTGTGGCTTAAGTCAGCTGGAGTTTATTTTTGTGGCCTGAAACCAAAAGAACCTTAACTAATGCAGTGTACTAAGAACAGTTTTTGGAAAGATACACAAGAAATTAACACTAATTACCTCTGAGAATGAATGGGATGTAGGTCCTGAAGGTACAGAGAACTTCCATCAGCACATTACAACACACTGTACAATTAAATGTTGTGTTGTCATAAATTGCTTTAGTTGAATTTAGGATGTTCTGTTTTACACCATGAGCATGTATTACTTGGATATTATACTTTTTACAGTTGGTTTCTTTTTTCTTTCTTTTTATTGTCACATTTGAGAAAGGCTAATATGATAAAAGCCTTTTAATTTTGCATAGCTCAACTTTATCCCTACTCCATTAACAGGTATGAGATGGCAAACCATATCATTGCAATAGAACCATGAGGTCACTTGTTTTAGACCAGCCCTGAATTATTCCTATCTTGTCATAGGGTGAATAATGACTTCATTTTTATGGTGCAGTGTTATTAATTGATCAAACATATTATTCTTAAGTTGCTTTAAGTTCTTTTCTTCTACTTAATAACCCCAATTTACTCAATTTGAGATTCTTTCTGCTTAATAATCTCCTACTTTGAAAAGAACAGCAAGGGGCACCTGACTGGCTCAGTTGGTTGGGAGTCCAACTCTTGGTTTGGGCTCAGCTAATGATCTTATGGTCTATGAGATCGAGCCGTGCATTGAGCTCTACACTGACAGTCTGGAGACTGCTAGGGATTCTCTCTCTCTCTCTCTTTCTCTCTGCCCCTCCCTCATTCTCTCTCTCTAAATAAATAAATATTTTGAAAAAGAAAATGAAATCAAGCTTAGATGGGTTGGTTATTGATCATTTCACACTTTAATGTGAATTATTTTAATCAGGTTAAATTTATCCAAACCATTGGATAAAAATCACTTTCTGAATGAATTGGGAGTTCTGATGCCACTGTGATAAATTTAGAGTGCTAGAAGTTACATAAGAATATTCTTCTAGCCCCTTCCTCTATCTTTCCCCACAATTACTACTTATAAAAAAATTAATATTGTCAGAAAAATCTCACCCCCTAGAGAGGAAATTAGCACAAGTCAAGACAAATGGACCAAATTAGCCATCTGCAGAAATAACCCATCTTGGGAGGTGACCTGCAAATGTCTTGTCTATGGGAGCCAAGGGTTCCCAGTCCTGAGAGGGACTAGGAAAACCTGAATGGCATGTAATAATTACAAAGCAGAAAACAGCAGTTGTTATTTACCTTGCTTAGGATGATGTCATGGTGCTTTAGCAACTGATTTTAAAAGAAGAATAAAAGAGTAGGTATGTGTCAGTGTTTGTCCAGAAATGTCTTGAAAATCAGAGCACCTCCCAGAATCATTCCGAGTCTACATGAGGGATCACAGTACGTTAGACACGCAACAGGTGTTTCCTAAAGCGCTAAACTTCAGGGAAATAGGGTCACAAAAAAAGAGGGAAAGGAGGGAGGAAGGAAAATGTAGTGGGAGGGATACATGAAGGAAAGAGTGATGGGGAAGAAAGGGAAAGAATTAGGAGCAATGAAAAGAAGCATAAAAGTAGGAGAAGCCCCCTTCTCTAAAAACAACCAACCAATCTACCAGCCAAACAAATAATTTGGCTGATCAAAATGTTAGAATGCTTGTTGGGGAGTGGAGTCTGGGTCCTGCCTCTCTGGTCTATTGTAACAACATTTTAACTGATTTTCCTGATACTATCTTACATTATTTCAGAGTGTGATCTGAAATACTGATATTATTAGCCCTTTTCTGCTTAAAATTCATTAATCCTCTACCTCCTTTAGCTGTGATTTATCAGTTCATTCATTTAGCTACCTCCTTTAAATGTGATTTATCAGTTCATTCTGCCTTACCCACTTTAGGGGCTTCATCTCCAGTCCCATCCCCCACATTCAAGTACCCTGTTCTTTTATTGGTACTTGCAGTTCCCATAAATATGCTTTGCTTTTTTGCACTTGAGAACCTTCCATATGCTGTTCCTTCTAGGTAGGATGGAGAGCCTACCCTTCATTCTCCAACCATCACTTCCCCTCTTTTACCAGCTGGTGAGCATTTCAACTAAGGAAATTTGCTCAAACAATGTATCTTCAGTAAAGCCATGAATGCCCTTCATGCTTTAACACTATAACAAAATATCTTCATTTAATGTGTGCATAAACTACCAAATAGCATAGGCTGACTGTGTGTTAATGGAATATACAGAATGTTTTCTATTAACAACTCAACATAATAGGTGTAAGGTGATTTGAAAGTGAAATGAATATATCTGTTAAAATAATACCACTAAATGAAAACACCAACCGAATAATACAATAGAGCCCTTTAAAGCAGATAGTTGCCTAGTATGAATACACATGTAATATGAACACATATGTACTTAATATCTTAAAATGTAACTGATATATTGTAGCCAATATATTTTCCATACAGTAATCCTGAATTTACAGGTTTCTGCATCCCAAGTATGTATCACACTCTATTAAACATGTGGTCATAAGGGCACAATGTTAACAGGGTTGCTTAACTCTTTTAATCACTATTACTCACTCTTGTCTGTTATTTGCTTTTCCATCCTAACTAAAACATATGTATCATCCCCCCCTCCCAGACATGGTCCCACTCATTCAAGTGGAAATAGGAGCTTTTCCCCATAATGGCAACTGAGCAGACCACATTAAGCAAAAGGTTCCAAATCTAATGAACCATTAGTCATAGTCAACTGATGACCCACTGAAATGACTGACCAGGTAACTGGGTCAGCTACCTCAAGGGAAGCTTTTACTAAGCCAGTAAAGCATGCCATTGGGCCTTTAGGAAGAGACCTTCCTGACTTCACCCCAAACATACCTATCCAGTCAGCTATGTGCATTTAGTAAGGCTTCCCACACCATTCCCTGGAATTGTTAACAGCTCTCACTTTTCCACATGCAAGTACTCCAGTTTCAACCTCCATCCCAAAGACAGCATGTAGCCCCAGGAGCCATATCATTGCCTGTGCAGTGTGGGTTTCTCATGCAGATGTGCTTCAAAGAACTGGGAGTAAATCTTTTCCTGTGACTGAAGTTCAGAGTCCCTCTAAAAGAAGGAG